GAAAAGATTACTAATGTAATGAGATGGTCCCAGTTCTTGGTGATGAGAACAAGGTCACTCCTCAGGCATTCATTGTAGACCTTTATTTACAGTCGCATTGGCCAGTGTAATCTCAGTGAGTGAGGCTCTATGGAATGTATGCCTGAGAGGATCAGATGCCCTGGAGAAAAAGTTGCAGTTCCTTTTAGCTGCCCCAGGAAAAACCTAGTGTGACCAGGTTTCCCTGGTATAATGGGTGGGGCTAGTGTGGAGAGATTTTTGAGAGCATTGCTTACTACACAGCTTGCACCCTCTTCGTTGAAAATCTATGTTTCAAACAGGTGTTTGGGACATTTGGCCAAAATGGACATGAAATTGAATTGAAGATTCAGTAACTAAATGAATGAATAATCAGGCTCTGCCTCAAAATTCACCTCCTGTTGCCTATCCAATAAGTCTTGGTTATCTGGCTGCCTCTAAGCAGTAATCATGTTAAGACCATGTAGCTGGAACTAATGTCTTCTCCGGAAACCAGGATGCTGATTTCAGAGCTGTAGCAGGGTTTGCCTGAGAGAAGCGCCCTGCAGCCCCTCCCCCTGCCGACAGTCTCCTTCCCCAGGTGGACATGTTGAAGAATGAATTGCTTTAACTCCATTGTCTCCAGTTGTGGTTCTCAACCTCCAACTTGAAAAATAGTCCCTTCTGAACCCCACATTTTCCCAGTAGGAATTTTCTCTACGGTGGGTATTGAGCAGCAGTGCTTGGGGAAGCCCTTAAACCCTTAAAAGAGCTGCTACTTACTGCCGTGGCCCTAGGGAACTCTTGTTTGGGGGCTTGTTTTGGCGGGGCTCCTGAGAAGGGTTTTGAGGCTAAACTTCATGAGGACCTTGCATCTAGTGAGCTGAGGAGGTGGGATGAGCAGCGGGATCTTTTGGAGTTTGCTGGGTTGGGATGGTGAAGTCAGGTGGAGGGAGATCTGTGCCCAAAGCAGCTGCATCATCCCAGGTCTCAGCATCCATCAGTGCAGCCTCCCTTAACTCTCATGCCTCAGTCTCAGGCTGGGAAGAGGAGCCCAGCTCTCAACTCTGCAGTTGGCAGAAAGGAGCCAGGATAGACCTTCCTCTGCATTTGTTAGATCTTACAACTCAAATCACCAACAATTAGCTGTAAAGCAGTTATGCTAACTGAAACAATTTAGGCTAATTAAAACCGTTTTTGGCTCATCAAAACACTGATTTGCATCCAAGTGCATTAAATGACAGTGAGATTAAGTAGAATGAAATTGTAGGGGGTTGGGGGGCTACCTCACTGACAAAACAAAGCAAAAGAACCCCTAAACTTAGCATTTGGGGAACTGCCATTGTGAAGCAAGCTTGCAAATTCATGTTTTCTATTGATCCACCCATCTTTGGTAATGATTTTCTTGTCTCAAGAAGACCATTAACCTACCTATCCCTCAGATATAGATGCAGGTCTTTTTGCCACCTCAGCCACCACCGTGTTTTGCCACTGTCGTCACCATCTACTTTACTGGAAAGACTTGTCTAAGCTTCTTGTCACATACAGTCTGTATCATACACAGTAGCTGAAATAGTCCCATTCTGCCCTTAAAGTCAGTGGCTTTTCATGTCCCTCTGGGAGGGACACTCTATTTTACCCCTCTCTAAGCCACGACCACTCTCCTACTGGTCCTTTCCTGCTACCCAGCACCTCATGCCCTTTTTCTGTCATCACCACTGCTGGGTTTTACACTTGAACTCACCCAAAAGGCCAAAGCATTAAAGGGAGAAGCAATACACAGTGAGTCTATTAAGGTTGGTTTACTTTGAAATGACTGTATGACCCGTTGCATATCATATACCTCAGCTTTGACTAGAACTCAGTTCTCCACCCAGCAGAAGGCCAGAAGCCACTAGACAAATGATCAGATTTAGTGGGGACTGCTTTTTAGGGAAATAAAAATCTCAATCCCTCAGAACTCCCTAACTGGAGAAACTTCATCTCCTATTATGAACTGCAAACCATCTTTCAGTTGGCATCAAGTAAATGATGTAACCAGTACCCTAGTTTACAAAATTATAACAAGATTAAAGCAGTAAATGTATGGACGTCTAAAACCTGTACCCCGACAAGACAGGTTCCTCATGGACAGCGGGATACTCTGAGGCCTGGGGACCCCAGAAGAGGCAGATGATCTCTTAACAGGACTGGCTGCTCGGAGCTGGACTAGATGTGGTCCTGACTGCAGGCCCTTGCCAGGTTGGACAAATGGCTACAGTACACGGTGAGTGTAGCCCCTGAGTAAGCCCTCCATGACCTGGAAACTTAGGGCCTCCTGTGTGTGCAGGCACACACAGTGGAAAGAGGACTTGGTATGACTTCCATGCCTGTTAGCTCATGCACAGAGCTTACAGTTAGCAGAGGGTGCCTTACTACCTTCCAGTTTCTGGGTCCACTGAACCTTGAAACGCTCCACTCTAGAGAGACCTGTGTCTCCATCTCTGAAGATGTGCATGTTTTGTTTTTGTTTGTACAGTTTTAGCTCTATCAGAATCCCATTTCTCCATGCTTTGTCAGCCACCTTTCATGGGACCCTGGGGCTCTAGAGGCTCCAGGCCTTCGGCAACTAGCTTTTCTTCCATGGACTCTCCCCAAAGCACCCTGGGAAATGTCGTCACCCCGACTTCTGCCCCATAGATGCTCCATCACTTGCCATTCTTGAAGCCACACTTATAGTTTACCAGCCTTTACCCCAGCACACTCTTTCTGGCCTCACTCGAGGAAGTTCCCTGGGCTGGGAACCAGGCTGTGGCTGTGGCTGAGTCTGCAGTCTCACTGCAGGTAGGACCATTGGATTAGGGTGAGGAATTAGCTATTTGCTCATCTTCTCCAGCTTTATAGAGTAAGGTGAGTGGAAGGGTTAAACAAAAGCCCAAGGGCCTACAGGGTCTGGGTATTGGGAGTTATTCTGACAGAGTCTGATAATGAGGCCTCTTTCCAGAAAGGCTGCTCAGTGAGTGACTTAAAACACAGAAGACTGCAAGACACTAATGAAGACTGGCCGGGCTGTAGGGAGCAGATGCTGAATGAGGTTAACGACTGAGGACAGAGAGATGGCCTGATGTCTCTGGTGGAATTTCAACGGCACCACTCAGCCAGGGCTATGACCAGGAGCTTAGGGAGCAGGGCAATGCGGCAATGCTGGGGTGAAATCTCTACCCAACTGGTCTGTAACCTTTGAGGCTCCTCATGGTACTGGCATGGGGAGCACTGTCCTACCCAGCATAGATTACAGACCTTGAACCCTGTACGACTTGGACAGGAGAAATAATGAGTGATAATGAGGAGGTACTTGGACAGGAGAAATAATGAGTGATAATGAGGAGAGCATCTGAGGAACACTGATGGGTGATACCGAGACTCAGTGGCATCAGCTCTTGACAAGCTCCCCCATCTCTTCTAGTCCAACAGCTCTTCAAATGGCCTCTTGGTCCAAGCCATTTACACCTCTTTGCTCTACAAGAGCATCCATGATGCTAATAAATTCAGCCATTACCGCTCCTCTGGCAAGGCAGGGAGACTGCAGCGCATGCATGATTTCTGCCCCTTGAGGAAGCTAAGCCTAGGTACTTCTGCCACCCACTTCCCCAATGAAGAAAGAAGCAGAGCCATAGCCTTGCCCACATCACTCTCTAGAGCACTGCCAAGTGGGAAACTTCACCAGCCCCCATCACTATCTGATATACGAAGCAGGCAGCAGACGCTGAACACACGCTGACTGGGGACTCGAAGCTTATTGCAGGATCATTTTCAGTTCATTCTTTTCAGTCTGATATAAAGAGGGCTTAAGCGGCAGCTGATAGAGCGTTTTTGATGATAGATTGTCATGCAATTTGGAACATACATCTCAGATGCAGTATAAGGAAGTGAGTGGAATGCCTACATCTTCTTGTTTATTTGAAAAGCCTGAGCACATACAGCTGTTAAAAAAAAAAAAGGAAAGACAGAAGGTATGAAAGAAAGAAATCGGTCCTGAATTCTGACCCATTCTTGCTGTAAAATGAATCCATGATTTCCTGAACAATTAAATTTCTACTCATTTGTCTGAGGTGTGGTTTCCACACAATTTCCATTCTAGGTTTAACAACTACATATCTATTTATCTAAATCTCTGTCTATCTATCTATCTATCTATCTATCTATCTATCTATCTATCTATCTATCTATCTATCTAATTATTTATAAATGTCTAGGGCTGGCAAAATGGCTCAGCATGTAAAGGTGCTTTCCCCAAAGCAAGATGAACTGAGTTTGATCCCAAGGACCCTCATGGTGAAAAGAGAAAACTGACATCCCCAAATTTTCCTTTGGCTCCACAAAGAAAACAAGGGCACACAAGGACTTTCCCTCCTACTCCCACCCCACTTGTTGCCAATGAAATCAGTAAATGTAAAAAAACTTTTCAATATCCAATTAGGCTTTAATAAATTGTTTATGTTTGAAAATAGTTTTAAGCATGTGCCTATGATCCTAGCATTCAGGAGGCTGAGGCAGGCAGGTTTAAGGTCAAGGCGAGCCTGAGCTACTCAGTGAGTAGGAGTCCAGCCTGAGCTAAGGAGCAAGGCCCTGTCCAAAAGATCCAGGAAAATAAAACAGTTGTGATAGCCCAACCTAGAAGACAAAAAAATAAAAAATAAACAAATCCCAAAAGCCAGGCAGAGAAATTCAATAATGGAAGCCAAAGAAGATCTCTAAAACTAAAATTTTCTAGAGAGAGTGGAATGAAGGTGAGAGCTAGAAAAAAAGGGCCCAACATAAAGTACCTGCTGACATAGTGTGTGAAGACAGGTGACAGTGGTCCTGGAATCAGGCAGTATCTGGTGTCATTTGGTGTGTTTTAATGGGCTGTGACAGCTTTCCTCTAAAATTCAAATGTTTACCAAATGTTAGAAACCACGTCTTTTCATGCTTTAAAATGTATTAAATGCCAAACCAAAAATGTATAAGAACGCATAGTTTTTCAAAGTTTATTTTTGTGGGGTACATAGAAAAGGGGCCCTTTCCAAGCCTATAGTCTGTTGGCCTCTCCTCCTCCTTCTGCTATAAGGAGAGAGGAATGGAGGCGCAGCCTGCAATCAAGCTCTGCTTCTTCCTGCTCGTGGAGCCAGAGGGCCTTGCCTCCCCTCCCTCCCAGTCCCAGAATATTAGTCATTGGCACGGGCAGGCTCTCCACTGGGGATGGGGCAGATGTCACCCTCTGGGATGACAAGGATGATTCAGGCCCTTTGAACCCAAAGATTGCTAACCTACCACAGCACACAGGAAAGCCTGCTAGGGCCCAGACCATCATCATCTCTAAGGAGAGGGATGTGGCTATGCCCTGCAGACATTCTGCCTTCATCATTGGCCCACATTATCTCTCCAATGTCTAGTTGTTTGATGTCAAAGGCCGCCAGCTCCACAGATGCCTGACTGATGTCACAGAGAGCTTCAACAGAGGCTGAAGCAGTCTGAGGAGAGCCTGGGGTCCTTGTTCCAATCACTCACCAGACATACTCTGATTTGAGGGGTGCTCACCCCATTCCCTCTGGCCCTAGTGCTTCTATTCCCCTTCTGTCCAGCACTGTGTATCAGATTGGCCTAAGAGTGTGGCTTTCCATCAGTCTCACTTGGTCCCCAGACTGAGCCCAGGCTGAATGGGGGTCTCCCAGGATGGATGGCATACTGGAAGCCAGCATTCTCCTGGAGCCACAGGGGCAGGAGGACTGCGGAAGGAGTGGAGGGGCAGCTTGGTGAGGGACTGATACTGAGGAGGGAAGCTTCTCTGCTAGTCCGTCCCTGGGATGGAGCCAGATAAGTTAATTCTTGCCTCCCTCTCTACCCCAAGCGTAGAGATGGCAAACAAGGAGCAAAGCCAACTGTGGGTGCTGTGAGCAGGGCAAGTAGCTGTGTGACTTGTCTAAGCCCTTGACTGCTCTGGGCCTCAGTTTCTTCAGATGTAAATGGTACTGCAGTGAGGATCCACAAAAGCGGCTGGGTGCACAGAGGCTTGGTGACATGAGCTTTACCCTTTCTGAGGGTCCTGCGATGCCCCCTGCTCCCTCTTGCTTGGCGATGTGTGGCTGCACTGGGCCCTTGTCCTTCAGTGGCCCCCTTCCATAGCTTTGCTTTCCTTTCCTTCCAGGCCGGAGAGTTGATTTCTCCCCCTCCTTCTCCTGCACTGCAAGGGCCAGTGTAGCAAGGAGGACCCAGGAGAAGGCTGTAGAGGATGAGGAGCTGCCTCAGTGGTGGAGTGGTGGGCAGATGGGTGACAGAGGGTCACACAGCAGCTGTCTGCTTGATGCTGTGGAAGCTGATCCTGGTGGGAGACGTGGGGATGGACATGGCCCGGGCCACAGGCACTCGGAGAGAGTGGTGGTCCTGCCAGCGGTGCCACCGCTTTCTCAGGGCTGAGCGCACCTGCGGGGATGGAGAGGTTCAGTCACCTGCTGAGCCAGTCCTCTGGCATCCCCAGCCCCATCTCAAGAGCTGTTAACAGAGTCTGGGATGGCCCTCTGCCTGCCACCCTCACCCCAAGGGGTAATGGGGTCCCAAACTGAGGTCCTCCTATGAAAACTGTTGCCTACATGGCAACTTCCTTCAGGGAACCCTCCCTTTCCCTCTCCTGGACAGGCCATGGGCCTACTTAAGGTTCCAGTTCCCCTGCCACCATGAATTAGGCATCTCTGGCTTTGTAAGTCAGCCCCTCAGCTCAGCTCAGCCCCCGCTGTAGCAGGCATCAGGCCTAGCTTTCTCCTCATCAGAAAGAGCCTCTCCTTGCCCCATCTGCAGCCTCTGCCTTCTCTACCATTGCCTAAGAGACAGCTCCTGGCTTGTTCATTGCTACACCTGCTTGAGTCTCTTCTGTTTGTGTTGTAATGGAAGAAACAACTTCTTCCTGAGTGACTTTGTATGTGTGTCCCTACATGCACATGTGTGTGCGCGTGCATGCGTGTGTGTGTGTGTGTGTGTGTGTGTGTGTGTGTGTGTGTTACCAGTGAGCACCACAGCATGTGTGGAGGTAAACTCTGATTCAGGAGCTGAGTCTCTTCGTCTACCATGTGCATTTCAGGTGCTGAACTCAGGTCAGCAGCCAAGTGCCTTTATTCACAGAGCCATTTCACCAGCCCCTGTCGTTTTCTTTTCTGCTGAGTTTGTAAAGAAATGCTTGAATGACATATGCCACCTCACATTTTTCTGGAAGCTTGCTTCTGTCATCCCTTCTGTCTGACTGGCAGGCGCTGCTTTGTGGCACCTTGGACCCTGACTCTGAGGGCATGCCCTGAGTGCAGCGTATTACTTGTGGCTTGTGTAGCTGGCTTAAACTGGCTCTGTGGGAGAAGTCCTGTTCCCCTGAAGCTGAGTGGTTTCTCAGCCCCTCTCCCATCAGGTGCAGTCGAGCAGAGCCAGTGATGACATTCTTTTTAAAGGCTGCGCAGCTTGGCCGTACCACCTGGGAGTGCAGTCTGGGAGGCCTGAGCTTCTAGACCACCCCAAAGGCCCTGTCTCCTACCTCTCCATTGAAGAAGCAGTAGAAAACAGACACAAAGAAACCCTAGGAAGGAAAGAATGAGAAGTCAGGCATCTGCCTTGGAGCCCTTCCAGCTGGAGGCACGGGAGGACACAGGATGGCTAGGAGCACACACACCTCCCAGGGCCCAGGACTCGGAGGTCCTGGGCCCAGACAAGGGATGCAATTAGTTACACCAGGGTCTGCTCCGACCTCAACATCCTGAGCTTGTCCTAAGTACTCTCCAAAGCTCTAGGACAGCTGAACCCTGGGATGGAGGTGACACAACCAGAAGAGCCTGGGCAGCATCTGTGGCCAAGCAGGGTTCTAAGCGAGCAAGCCCTTGTGTTTTGGTGCTTGGATGACTGGTCCTGGGGTGCTGGCCCGGTCTGAGCACCCAGGCCTGGGAAGTATACTGCTGCTGCGGTGCCTACCTGGAAGGACTGCAGGAAAGAGTTGAAATAGATAAACACAATCTGGGACAGGTCGTCCTTTCCAGGGTTGACAAAGAAGAGCATGTAGGTGATGCCCAGCAAGGGCAGGAGGACCAGGGTGGCCTTCACTGCCTTCCTGGATGGGAAGGCAAGAGGGTGGGGTGACAAACTGGAGCTCACCTTCAGGCAGGACTCTTTCAGGTGGGTGGATGGGGTACCCCGCCTGGCTTCTGGGAGTTCAAGCAAGCTCTAGGAGCGAGGACTCCAAGGGCTCTGGTGAGAGGACCTTTTTGCTTTTTCCCTGCCTGCCAGGTCAAGGCATCTGGGCGTTGCCATACCTGTACTGGATTGTCTCGGTTGTGGTGGACGCTCGTAATTTTGTCATGAGGATCCTGACGATGTTGAACAGAAATATAAAATTGATCTGGAATAAAGCAGAGAGGGACAAGGGAAGGTCTGTAGTGGGGGTGGGCTGAGAAACAGAATCCCTGGTGCCTGGCTCCCAGACACAGGCCCCAGCAGGGAGCAACTGCTTTGGTCACCCAACTTCTGCTCTTCCCTAGCCAGGACAGGAGGCACCCCATTGGCTTCAGGGCCTGCACCCATCCATGGCCCAGACAGCTCATAAAGGAGATGGGTGGGAAAAGTGACCACTCACTCCTCTAGGGTCACTTTCAAGAGTCCCAACCCCTGCCCTACTCTAAGACTTCATAGAACCGCACCCCAGATCTCTGATCCACCTGTCTTCTCTTGGTCACAGGCTCCCTATATGTTGGTGGAGGATCTCAGAGGCCCTCACACTCTCACCAGCTCTGGGTTGCTCAAAGGTCCTTTCAGCTCTGTCCCGGGGTAGGGGGACACAGGCCAGATGGTGTGTTTAATCTCTATCACACCTGCTCCTAGGTGCTCCTAAGTTTTCAGGCACCCACAGTCGAGGAAGATAAATAGGCAGCACTGGGAAAGGACTAATTTATCTTCATTAGCTGCTTTCCCTTAACCTTAAAGACACGCCCGCTTCTGACTGCATGGGTCTGCTGGCTCTAGAGTCAGCTTCCTGCTGCATGGGTCTCTGTGGATTCCCAGAGTCTCTTGCTCTCTGAGGGGTTCCCAAGGGTCAGTAAATTTGTCAGCTAGTCCTCATGGCTGTGCCGTCCACCTGTGCATGCTGCCCTGTATGCTTGACCATAGGTGCTTGTCTCAGAGTGAGCCTTGTGCGACCATGCATATGTGTTTATCTGGGAACACGGTGTGCCTGCATTTCTCTTCATGTGCTGCTAAGTGCAAACAAATGGGAATGGGAACGTGTATATGCCCATTGCGACTCTTTTTCTCAGAAAGTGTTCACAGGCCAGCAGACACATAATTAGCCTAAAGATGTTTGCTGGCCTGTAGGTGTGGAGACACAGAAGTGCCCACCCAGTCTCTGTCTAGGAAAATCCACTGCTTCTAATCCTCCCACACCATAGCTCCCTGGCAGAGAGTAAGGATATTAGTATGTATCAGCCGTGTAATCCCTGACTATCTCTCAAGCTGGAAGGTAGGGGGTTTGGAGTACTCGGACTCTTGCCTCTTTGTGGCCTTACTGCTCTCTCACACGCATGTATAATACATGGCCTAGTGAGCCCACAGACAGCTGGAGAGGAAGCCTTCCAGAAGGCTGCACATGCCTGCTGCCTGCTTTCTCTAAAGGTTCACCTAGGCTAAGGCAAAACAAAATTCTTAGTCTTTTTCCTGTTCTTTCTGACTTCTCTGAGAGTAGAGACTGTTGGAATAAAAAGATATTCAAATTTCTGTAACATTTCTTGTATTAAATATCATTCTATTCTATCATTGTATTCTAACTAGTTCATTCAGTTCATCTACCCAAGTATTTCATCTGTCCATTCACATGGCAAACATTCATTCATCCATCCACCCTCCCACCAAACACTTCGTTCAGTTTTCCAACCATTGTTTTTGCCCATACATGCGTGCATGCATGCATCCATCCATCCATTCACCCACCCATGCCCTCAGCAGTCACCAAGCACCACTTGACTACATGGCCCTGCTCTGTGAGGTGAGCAGCACAGGCAATGTGGCTGATATGGAGCATTTCCTTTTACTAACAGGCTACCCTTGCCTGGTTTTGTGTCTCCCGGAAGCTACCTTTTCCTTATTGAGCTAGTTTCCCAGCCTCATTCTTTATGATGTCTACACCAGTCTCACCCCGAGACCCCTTCCTCTCTGACCAGGAGCCCCTTGACCACGTCAGACCACACTGAATTCTTCACTACTCCATTATAGCAAAACATGCCAGCTCCTCAGTGAGCTGTTTCACCCAGACCTCATCCAGTCTGGCTCTGGGTTGTATCTCACCATCCTCACATTCATCCAATCACCTTAGCACTCCAGCCTCTGTGCTGGAGTACCAGTGAAAGGCATGGGGACAGGCAGACACAGCACCTGCTCACAGATTTCTGTGGCCTTGTGGTGGATGGAGAAGACTGCATTTTTCTTAGGGGCTCACTCAGAAAAGGCTGGGTAAATGACACTGAAATAAACAAGCTGAGGACTGGTGACAATGATATTAGCTATGAGTGTGGAAAGCTTCCAGGCAGAGAGCAGACCAAGAGAGAGGGGCCTTGGGTGGAGGAGCCAGCCCCTGATGGTGGCCCGTGTAATGCTGCTTTTGGGAGCCAAGACAAGTTCTGGGAGGTGGAAGCACCTGAAAACCCACACAAGAAAATCCATCTCCTTCAACAACTCCCTTGCCGGGTACTCTTCCCACTCTGGAATGTTCTTGAGGTGGCCTACATGGCTGGATTTTGAGTCAGCTAGAGTGGCACAGGTGAGGCTAGCTCCTTGAAGAAGCTCTCCCTGAGAGGTCTTAATCTTTCCATACCCCCAACATTGGTGGTTTAGTGCTATGGACACTTGTGTTCCATCTGCTTCTCAGGAGGCTCAGTGGAGTGGGATCCAGGCCTAGAGAGGGCCTGGGCCTGGAATGTATCAAGGCAGCCACCATGTGACAAGATCTTGTCTTGGTCTGTGCTCTCTTGTGACAGGATGGCCCCGGGAAGGCCTACACCTGCTTAGAGCTCAACAATGAAGAGCTAGTGTTCATACCATTTCAGGTGCAGCCCCAAGCGCCCCACAGCTATTCCTCAAGCCACAGCCTCTTCCACAGGCAGTGCACACCACCAGCCATGCTTTACTGAGGCACGGGTGCAATAGGCTGATGTGTCATGCCAAAGACAGCAGGGCTGGCTTCAGCGCCCTCCTTCTCCTAGCTCCTACACATGCTGCTCCTACATGGATTAAGGAAATCCATGGGTGGACAGAAGCTGGCTACCCTCTCATGTTCAGCAACCCCCCCAATAGGTCGCCTGTTCCAGGGAGGATTTGGGTACCCCAGGACCTGCTGAGGAAGAGTCTAGGGCATCAGCATATATCTGAGGCCCCTAGTCCTCATGCTGACCCCAAGAATCAGCTATGCATTAGAGTGGGAGAGAGTGGTATCCCAAGAGGGGCAGAATTCCCTCAGAGTCACACCCTAAACCAAGACGCTCCAGTCACGTGTCCCATAGGGCTCATAGCACAACCCTGCCTGCCACCATAATCCAAGGCAGAGAAAGTACAAAACCAGCTCACTGCTTCTGCACCCTCAATAAGTGAACCTTGGAGGGCAAGGTACTTAGTAAGTCATGCTGCTTGCTCACAAGTTCCTCTGTTACTAGATCCTCACTGTAGGCTCGGGCTGAGAAGGGGGCAGGGGACGAACAGGGAGGCAGGAAAGAAGATCAGAAAACAATTAGGTGTCTTGGGGACATGTTTACCCTGTCCTCTCCTGGTTCTGAGCAGGCTTCTCCAGGCTTTGTACTTGTCTCCTCCTTTTGGCTCTCACCCATCTTGTAGCTGTCTGCACCACGCCTACTTCAGGACCACACCTGCCTGCTCTGTGTGGGTCTATAAAGTCTGGGAACCCCTCAGGATTGTCGGGATGGTCAGCTGCTACCACCCCAGGGAGACTGGGTCTCACTAGATGCATCAATACATCCAGGGAGCTGAGGACAGGAAGAGCAAGGGGAAGAAGTTCACTTACCCTCCCAGCAGCTATGGACACCTGACATTATAGTCAGGACCGCAGATTATTATTACATGTGAATGTTGCTGGAGCAGGCTGGGGGCCTTGGGCATCTGCATTAGGAACAGGTATGGCCAAGGGATTCTCTAGGGGTGCTACGGATACTTTTGTGGGGGGGTGCATGTGGAGTAAGGAGTCACCATCCATGAGCCACAAAGCCCAGCATCAATCAGCCAGACCTGAGTGTTGTATGACATAGATGTCTATCCTGTGCTCTTTGGGCCTGAGAGCACTTTAAGGGGGCAGTGCTCAGCCTGAGGCTTTCTCTAGTGTCACAGAGATGCTTCAGCATGAAAGCAGGGTAGACTGAAGATGTGGAGAGTTCTGAGGCAATGTCCAGGGAAGATGAACAGGATGGCATCCCCACCTCCAAAAGGACATGTCTGAGACCTTTGTACACAGGTTGAAACCAAGGCTGTTTGTGCTGGTGGTGATCCTGACTGGGTTTGCCCTCTGGCCTTTTGTTGATACCCCCAGCTGTGGACCCCACAACCACCTCTAATGAACCCCTGTCTCCAAGTGTGGGTCTCCAGGTTCAAATTCCCATGGTATCAACTGCATTTTTGTGGCCTTAGGCAAATCACTAACCACAGAGTCTGCTTCCTCATCTGTTAAACACAGATAGCAACAGACTTGCCGTGAAGATTGGCACAGGGTAACAATCATGGTTAAAAAGCCATGTGCCAATTGTAATGAATGATCATCCTTTTCCCACAACAACCACTGGGTGGTGGGCAGGCTTCTCACAGACTCCACTGTCTGATTCCCTTCACAGAATCCAGACAACAGGAGAGACAGGGAGGCAAAGCAGGCAGGTTGGTTAAGCAGGAGTCTAGTCCCTGGGTCTCAGCTCCACCACTTGTGGCTGTAACCTTGACTTCATCTCTGCAATGAGGAGTGCCATCTCTCCTATGTAGCAAACATGTGAGGATTGGACGTGCTGGGAACAGAACCTGTAGGAGGGCTCTGCTCTACTAGCACAAGCAACTGGCTCCAGAGGAAGGGGGTGTGCAGCCAGGGAAGGAAGCACACTTGGGCAGGAGGAACCTGGAAGCCAAATGCCCCCTCCTCCCTTCTTTATGATTTCCTCACTACCTGGGCAACATGTTTAGGTGGGAGCTCATTCCCAAGCCTTTGGTTCCCATCCAGGCCAGCCTTCCTTGGCTGGGTCCCAGGTTTTTCAAAAGCGCCATCGCTTTACATGGGCTCCTGGCAGCTGGCTGGGAGGTTTTCATTCACATCGAGGGGCGAGTGAGTCACTGCAGCTGCCGGTCCAAGGACAGTTCTTCCCTTGCTGCTGACAAAGACCAGCCTCTGCCTGAGTGGAGCCCCGAAGGTGGGTGGAAAACCTTTCTAGTCATCCTCAGCTGATGTCCATCAAGGACACTCTGGAGATGGGCTCCAGTGACTCCAACAGTCACAGGAATCAGAGTCGGGAAATGGAAGAGATAAACAGAACTTGTCACCATGGTAGACAAAGGTAGACCGGCTAGGCACCTGCTGTGTGCAAGAGGAGGGCATACTCTGAGTTGTCCGGAAGGCTCCATGGCCCTTTAAGAGAGCTGATACTCACAGAAGCCTAAAATAAATCTTATATAAATGCCAATTTCTTATAGGGCTTTTTTTGTATGTTTTTTAATGTATCCTATATAATGGACTTTTTTTTTTTTTTTTTTCAGAATGCACCCCCTACTTAAACTCTATCTTAATTAAAGCTTGTTGTGGATTAAAGACTTGGTGGCAATTATATCTTAGATGTGAATACACTTGGCAAAGGGCGGGGATCTGGCCTAGGAACAATTGCTCATTACACTGCATTCTGGAATCTGCTGCCAGCCTGAGGGTGGTAGGCGGGGCCCTAGAGGGTGTTCCTGGGGCAGAGGGACTGAGCTCTGTGCTGAATAGAAGACAGCACATCTTCTCCTGTACCTTGCCTACCTTCTTTCCTCAGCATTGGTCCTGACAAGGAGCACAGAACCTGGAAAGGTGATAGAACCATCTGGTCAGACCAGTTCTCCACCAAGAAAAAGTATCAAAGTCTAGAGCCATGTGCAGGCTGCCTCAGGCAAGTGGGCGCAGGGTATTGCCCAGGCCAGGTCTCTGTAGTGTCTCTGCCCAGGTGTATCTCCTGCTATGCTCCTAGTACCCCAGCCCCTTACCCCACGAAGGACATACCAAGAGCACAAGGATGATGGGTCCCTGGTAGATGTAGTCCATTAAGTCACCAGGTTCCTTGCCAAACCAGCACCTGCAAAGACAGGGCAGCTGAGGTGGACTCAGATTTTCAGCACAGTCCTAGGCTTCTTTGTGTGACCCTTTCTGAGCCCCACCCTCCAAGGCAGTTCGCATAGACAGCTCCATGCACTGCCCTAGCAAGGCCCAGCCCGGCCCTCTCTTTTGTTGTATCTGGTGGAGGCTGGCCTCCCCTGCCCAGTCTCGGGGCTTGCCTGGGGCCTCCTTCGCAGTCCCCTACTTTGTTGCAGTCTGTGAGATGGTCCAGGACTTGGCATGCAGCAGGTACAGGAGTCAGGGAAGAGCTGAGCTCCCCTTCACTGGGCTAGGGCCTAGCTGTCCTGTTCCACCTGTTGTTTGTAGAACCTGTGCTGTGTGCCAGATACTCATGACACAAAGCTGCAGGTGTGGAGGTGGGGCCTTCCCCAGTCTTAGGCTCAGCCCTTAGTTTTTGAGCTGAGGTGCATACACTCAGGGAAAGTAGCCAACTGCTCACCAGGTTCACTGATTGTTGGAGATGCTTTGGGACCCAGATGAAAGGTTAGGTTAAGTTTCTGGCTCTGCCTGCAAGTAGTGAACCTCAGAGTACAGGCCAGTATCAAACAGCTATCTCAGTGCACCCAAAATGTCTGGTCTCTGTTTGGACCCCCCCTCTGAGGGAAAGCTTATCACCTATCAAGTCAGCCCTCTACATCCTGAGCAGCTTTTGTCTTTACGAGCCTTTTCAAACGCTAAGGTCCTTAAATGTGACTATATTCAAATTCCATTTGCCACCTCTTGCCCCTGTGACTCCATAGGGAGCTGCTGTCATTGGGGCTGTGGTCCAGTCTGCCAATCTCAGGTGCAAGGAAGGCTGAATTGAATCCCACAGACACACTGTGTGAGCCTTGCGCATGAGGACTCCTGTGGTCGACCTATTTCTTTCTGCCTGAGGACCACAAAAGAGTGGTCGGCTCAGGTAAGGCTTCTGGCTCCACTCCACTCACTGGGCCAGAGCCGAGGTTGACCTGTCTCAACTCAAAACCCCCATGCTGGCCTGTCCCTCACTTACTGTTCATTCTCATAGTAGAGTTTGCCAACTACCCAGGCGATGATGATGGGGCAGGGGATGCCTGAAAGGAGAAACATGTGCTGCAAGGGATGGCCAGAGGCATAAAGGCCCTCTTGTAGTATCAAGGCAGGTGGTCACAAGAGGCCTGGGATTGTGTTTTTGGTCTTCCAACTATAGTCCATTTGTGATCTTATGGTGCCTGCCCCAGCTCCTGCCCCGACTCTCCGCTATCATATCCAAGCAGAGGATGGTGAGGTGGGTAAGTATCTTTGGGCTGGTCACCTTGGGGAGGAGGAAGGCTTTCTGGGATGAGCTCTGGAGGGTTTGGGGGCAGAATAGTGGAAACAGATGCATCATGGGATGGCCCAGGGGTGGTGGGCAGAGCTCGACTGGGGTATTAGTCAAGACTGCACAGGGGCAGTGGCCAGGGCTGCATGGGAGTAGCAAGGCAGACTGGGTTCCAGTCCTTGACCTCGAGATGGAGGGGGGAGATTTTATCAGAAGCGCCCCTTTGCCAAAAGGACCTGCTGCCCAGGGACCCTCACACCATCCAATGAAGAGGAAGAGCCACTTGCGCAGGTGCTCCGTGGAGTAAGTCATGACGATGGCTGTGTGCAGGTAGCAGCCCTCCACGAACATCCAGAAGAAGTTAGTGACCATAAAGTAGTTGAAGACGGTGGTAATGCAGCGACACCAGACCTGCATGTGGGGTGGTGGTGAGACGGGCCTGGGCAGCGCAGGGAGGCCTGGCACCTTCCACTTTGGAGCTACAGACAGGGTTCCAAACACCCCCAACTCCCACTCTCACTTCCCGGCAGCTCCTTCCCCAGGGGCCTCTCACTTCCTCTCCTTCCCAACCTCTTCAGTCTCTTCTTGCTTATGCAGCATAGGGAATGGGACCTAGGACCTCCCACCTGCTCGGCGACACTGTCACTCAGCCTACTTCCCTAGCTGTAAAAATACTTTTATTTTGTAATAGGGTCTCACTAAATCTCCCAGTCTCACTATGTAGCCCAGATAGGCCTAGAACCTAGAAAGTTTTTGCTCAGTTTCCCAAGCAGGTGGGATTACAGGTCTGCATCATCATGTCTGATGTCTTCTCTCAGTCTAGAAAGAGAGGCTGGTCAGCTCTCTGACCACAGGCTGGGCCAGAACAGCACAGTTTTCAATGTCCTGCTTCAGGTCCCTTCAGCTACAGAGCTCATCAGACTGGGTTCCTTTTAGGGATAGACTTTGAACTTTCATTTAAAAAGAAAGAAAACAAGCTGGGTGGTGGTGGCACACACCTTTAATCGCAGCACTCAGTAGGCAGAGGCTGGCAGATCTCTGAATTTGAGGCCAACCTTGTCTATAGTGAGAGTTTCAGTGCAACCAGGGCTACATAAAGAAACCCTGTCTTAAAAAACCAAAAAACCAAACTAAACCAACAAAGAGAGAAAGAAAGAAAGAAAGAAAGAAAGAAAGAAAGAAAGAAAGAAAGAAAGAAAGAAAGAAAGAAAGAAAACAGTGAGGGATTGTTAGGATGGGGCCACTGAAGTTTTGGAGGGCCTTGTGCTAGCTCATGGCAGGAGAGTCTTGCTAGTTTTGAGGCCTCTACAAATCTGGGCACTTTTCTAGCCTCTGAGCAGCCACCTTGCCCGGTGGTAAGAGGAAAGGAAGGCATGAAGACATGAGTAGAGCTGTGGGCAGGGCTGCTATTATGTGACCTATCACTGTTGCAGCGCCTGTCCCTGTTCCTCTGAGGGAGAAGACACTCCCAAGCATACTGCATGGGATGTAGGGAGGACAGACACTGAGCAGTGGTCACATAGTGTGCCCCTCCGAGCCAGGATCCACGCCATGGCCTTCCATCCATGTGGCTTTCTCCCAGGGCTCTCTTATATATAATGTTCTCTTAGCATATTGAGAATGCAGAGACAGCAAGCAGTTGGGTGAGCCCCAGGCAGCCTACTTCCTCCCTGTGTTGGCCTGTGGGTACTGCTCCTAGGCTGAGCTGCCCTCTGCCCCATGGTTCTGCTCTACAGGCCCAGCCCTGATCCTGGGTCCATGTGGTTGCCATCCTTTGTGCTAGAGAGTCTTGGTGGGTGGGAGGCTATGAGCTCCAAACAGTAAAGCTGCCTTTTTTTCCAGGTGAAGTGCAGTCTCATTAGTGCCAGCCACGATTGGTGCTGGAGCATACCTGACACTCCATTACACTGGACTGGCTCTGAGCCAGGACCCTGAGGCAGGCTTCAGGCCAGGCCGAGTTAAGGATCAAGCTAGAGTGTATGTGTATATGTGTGTGTTCAGGGCCAGGCCAGCCAAAGAAAATATACTGAGACTTGTACGAGGTATGCCAGAGAGTGGGGTTGGCCCCTTTTCAGTCTACAGTTTTACAGTGACTTTGATGTTATGGAGTAACAGTTGACACAAATCCAGGGTGGACACCTAATCTGTGGGGCCATGGTGTGCTGACACCCCACCAGCAATATAGCCTTTACTTCTCTGAGCTTCAGCTTCCATGTCTGTGGAAGGGAGTTAATCTCTCCAGTCCTACATTCAGATTAAGCAAGCAAACAAACGAACCTTGATAGAGGTTAGCGCCAGCTCCTTTTCCTCTAAGGTACCTGGATTTGTAAGATGGGCAGGCGGCAGAGGCAGGAGATGGGGTGATAGTTTTAGCTAGGAGCAACCCCCAAATCCTGGCCCAGGGCAGATCACTGCATGAGATAAACTATAAACTGTCTATTGGGCAGTAAGACAGGCATCCCCGAGTCTGAGGCTCCCAGAAACAACCTTATTTCCCATGTGAGCTTCGTGATCGATGAGCTGCAGCAGGAACCACATCATGTTTCTCAGGATGAAGGTGGTGATGAGGTTCCAGTGGATCACGTTCCGTAGGCAGCGGATACTCCTGTAGAGGCGCAGGTCAGAGTCAGCAGGGTTTATCCAGGGCTTGGGCTGGGGGCCAGCAGGGTAAGGACCAGATGGGAAAAATCTGGCATGGGATGAGAGTGGGGCTTCACCCCAAGTTCCCCCCTGGTGGTCACAGCTGGGCCTGCTCTGCACCCTTCAGGCAGGTCATGTCTCCAGCACCTGGCTTAGCCCACCTTTGGCCACTGTTCCCAGGCCACAGAATGGAGGAGTAAATGTCTGGGAGAGACAAAGATAAGGAGAAAGCAAGGCAGAGATGGACTCACCGGAGGACGAGGAAAAGCAGGAAAGCGGCCATCAGGGCCACCATGGAAACACAATGGCCCAGGTAGTTGACAATGAGGGCGATTCGGTAATGCAGGTCGTACTTCCTCTGTGAAAGACAGACAGGGAAGACAGAAGTGTGGCTGTGCAGGAGTAAGGCTGGTACTGAAGCTGTTTCTTGCCCTGACCTTAGGACAAAAGTGACTTTACATATCCTTAGGCTTCTAGATCTTCTTCCTGTTTGCCTGGTTTCTCTATTATTATAAATGGCTGAAGCCTGGAGGCACAGAGTGTAATCCAGCTACTCTAGAGGATGAATTAGGAGGACCCTACCTGGATAACTTAACGTCTCAATAAATAAGCAAATCAAATAGGGGGCCGGAGTTAAGAATCAGTCATAGAGAGCTTGTTTAGCATGTGTGGTCCTGGGTTCAATCCTCAAAACACACACACACACACACACACACACACACACACACACACACACACAGGAACTGAGGCTGAGGTCAGGAATCCCAGCATGCACTCTTAGGGACACATTTGGACACTGGCGATTCTGAGATACCCTAGGGCTGGACAGGCAGATGGAAAACTTGATTCTTCCCCCAACACCACATCTGGGTTTAGTCTCTGCTCAGACCTCAGCTGGCAGAGCAACTGAGGCTGAGACGGTCCTTAGCTATGACGTCTGTACTATGGCACCAACTTTCCATCCTGCTTTGGAAGCAGTGACATATGGGAGGCCCAGAGGGGTAGGTTGAGAATATAGCATAACTGAGCATATAGCAGTGAGGATGTACAGTGCAGAACACTTCCGAGTAGTACTCATATGGCATGCAAGTCAGTGTACCTTGTGTCACCACCAGAGGGGCATTGGGAGCACAGAGGGAGGGTAGAGGATTACTGTGAGAGAGAGCGCTTCTTTCTATCCAGGCTGGATGGCTCTCCTTGTGCTCCCCTGAGGCCTCTCTTTGGAACACCTGGACTTGCATTCTGCGGGCATCACTTCTCAGAAGATGCAAATGTTCTAGCCTCTACACTTGGACTTCGTTTGAGGAAGGGCTCTAGACCAACTGAGGACTTCCTTAGGTGAATGAGGGGAAGCATGGAGCGGGGACATATCATTTAGGGTCTGAAGCACAGCCTGTTGGAGGTGGAGCTCAGAGGCATGGGGGTTGCCTAGCGTGTATGAGACCTTGAGTTGGGTCACAGTACTAAACCTAATGGCAAGAGAGGCAGGATCTTTGGAAATACTGAGTCCATTTCCAGAGCAAGAGCCAGTACAGGGTGGCAAGGCCTAAGCAGGCCCCGCTTCCTGTCAGGATGGTCCTGTTGAGGCTGTGTTTGCTTCTGCATGGAACGGAAGGAGAAAAATGCCAGGTGGAGAAGGTGAAGGTCACTGGAAGAGGAAGGAATGTGCCCTGGGAGCCCATTAGCTGAGGGGAGCACTGGCAACATGATTGTGCCCTTTCTATGTTTCATGCCACCAGCCCGAGCTCTCTCGGAGAGGGATTCAGTGGAGGATAGCAAATGCATAAAAGAAGTGATGCAAAGGCTGGTTCTGGTGCCCATGAGGTCCTCTGGGTATGGGGAGGCAGGGCCACTCACCTTCTCATCCAAAATGGGCTCACAGTGTGAGTAGTTGATCCTTGAGGCCCACGTCCCATTCTCCAGGCATTCTCTGTAGGCATTGCCTAGAAAAGATGCCAACCACTGAGAGTCAGGTCATTCTCCCTCCTCAAAAACCCTCCCTTACTCTTTGGTACCTGCAGGATAAGGTCCACACTCCTTAGTTCCCCTGGACCTGAAAACACGACAAATACCTGAAAGCTAATATGAGTCATTTATACGAACATTACACAAAAGGCTTTATCTTACATGGTAGCTGGAAGGCACGCCAAAACCCATTTCAGACACATTCTTTGACTACCTTTTTGTGCACCTTCTTTCATTTTATTCCTCTGCTACAAAACTGGCTCCAATTGTGAGTCCTGGGTTGTGGCTGAAGATTGGCTGCTTTTAGCACAACAAACAATTTCTGTCCCTGTTTCAATCATTTCCCATGCGCACTCATACTCTTCTCCAACAGCAGCTTTTGCATTTCAACAATAGCTGCCATTTACACGGCATGTGCTTGCCTGTCTGGGTGCTCTTCTTGCTGAGTCTAATGGGCAAGATACACTTGCCATTCAGGGTTTTTTAAAATAATTTATTTAATCTCATTTTTATGTGCATTAGCATGAAGGTGTCAGATCCCTTGGAATTGGGGAGTGTCATTACAGACATTTGTGAGCTACCATGTGGGTGCTGGGAATCGAACCCAGGTCGTTTTGGAAGAGCAGACAGTGCTCTTAACCACTGAACCATCTCTCCAGCCCTGCCGTTCAGTTTTTGTTCTGATTCTTTTTTTACAGAGGAGGAAACTGAGGCATAGGGAGAAGTGAGAATATCAAGATGACAAGGCCCGGCTCTCAGGTTTTGTCTTCCTGACCTCTAGGCCACCAGGCTGTGGTAACACAGAAGTTTGGGGATACAGGAGCTTTTGCTCCTGCCTAGGAACTATGACCATGTGGCAGGCCACTCTATGGTATATGTGTGGAGAACCAGTATCTACACCAAAGCTGAATGCACTGTCCAATGGGACATTTTGGAGCAGCAGGTGTCCAGTGAACAGAAGCTCAGGTTTCACCAAGGGCAAAGCATGAAGGCCAAAACTATTCAGACCTCGTGTTCAACCTGAACTCTGACCGGGAGGTTTAGCTTCAAAGTTGCTCTCTCTATAACCCACCCCCACACCTTCCAGGCAGGAGAGCTGCCTCCTCCCTGAGATCCCCAAAGCATTTCTCCAGTCTTTGCTTTGAATCACTGTTATCAAGGAGCTCACCTCCCTTCTGATTACAATTCTGAATGATCCATTGTTTGGGGGTGATTTGTACCAAGGCTCTACTTACTAGCTAATAGGCAGCTGTTCATGGGTTTTCTTTTTTGGCTCATGTTAGTTATACAATATAAAGCTAATTAAAATAAATAGCTTTTGGAGCACAGAGTCATAGGGCTGGAGGGGAAACTTTAGATTGTTTTCGGAAGCAGTAAATTCTGAAAAAAAAATTAAGTTACTTAGAAACTCACTTCCATTGAGCTGACAGTGAGCTCAGAGAGATGGAATTATTAAGGAGCACTTGCGGAGAACAGAAAACATTGGGGGGGGGGTATTCTATTAGCTCCATTATGCTTTAGTTTGGAGCTTTGAGCAAATAAAGTTTTCAAATTCAGGGTTTAAAAAACTTTGCTTCCAATGCCATCAGCATGAAACCCAACTCTGTAAGGATCCTGGGTCAGCCGGGGGCACCTCACAATTACTGTGGCACTCAATGAGCGACCCCAGCACCTCTCCGGGGTTCAGTCCCCATCAAAAGGAGATGAATGATGGTTCAGTGGTTAAGAGCACAGGCTGCTCTTGCAGAGGACCTGGGTTCAGTGCCTACCACCCATATGGAGGCTCACACCATCCCCAAGTCCAGTTCCATGGGATCCAATACCTGATTATGACATTTTTGGGCACCAAGAACACACATGGTGTACAGACATACATGCAGGCAAAATACTCATACACATAAAAAGAAATAAAATAAAGCAAAAAAAATCTTTTAAAAAGAAAAATGATGCACTCTGCAGAGAGACCCAGATAAACAAGATCTCCCTCTTTTATCCAATGACATTTCTTATGTGGCATGTTGAAAGAACACCTCCTTCCCTGTCGGTAAGGAGGGTGGTCCTGCCCATGATTAAATGCCATGCTTGCTTTAAAATCATCAATAAGTGTCTCTTTATTCCTCTCAAGAACGAAGTCCAACTTCCTCAGCACGGCATTAAGATTTCTCTACCCCTGGACCTCATGTCTGCCTGGCACCCCATACACAGCTGACAATTGCTCTAATGGGCCTAGCACATGATCAGATCAATGCTGCTCCAGCTCCTGAGGTGCTCTATATGTTCTTTTTTTTTTTTTTCTCCAAAAACCTCTTGCTCATCCTCAAACTAGCCTAATGCCATCTCCTCCCCAGGCCTGCTCAATACTAGAATAGAAGCCATCTTTTTCTTTTTTTCTTTTTTTCTTCAAAGTACCTCTTGGAGAGAGTCTCTCTTCTTGGGATGTAGCACTTAGCCTTTTATTGCCTTTGGACTCACTAACACATACATTTTTCTATTTCTGTACACACACGCACGTGTGCACATGAGTGCTTGGGTCTAGTTTCACAAAGCAAAATGTAGTTTGACCACAGCTATAATCTTTTCCATTCTACTTCGTTCTGATGTATTTATTCACGTCATACATAAACGCTAGTTATGACCCACAAAATAGATTTCACCATCCCCTATTGTCACACAATCTGTAGTTTGAAAAACAAAAATCCATTTTGGAGCATTTGCCATGATTCATTGTGGGCTCTGTCACTTTGAATCTAGTCCTTTTTCCTTCTCTACTGGACTTAAACTCCCTGGTGACAAACAAGAAGGCAGAGTTCATGTTGGGGCCATGGTGTGCCCCTCAGGAACATGACTTCGAGGACATGTGAACGGCACTGAACTGACATAGATTTGCTAAGCCTCGAAAATCATTGTCTGAGATGTAGGATGTGGGAGTGAAAAGGGCTTCCTTTGGGGGCCCAGTGCTGTCTGGGGATGAGTTTCTGGCTATCAACACTGGGTACCAGAAGGCTGGAAGACAGATGTGCCTGCTCTTTGAGGGAGCTGTCTGCTACAGCTAATGAGGGCAACAAGTCCTCAGGCACAGCCTTGGACAGGAGAATGGAGGAGCCCTGCTCCCTCCTCCCCTTAAACCACAGGAGGATGGGCACATACAGCCTTAGTTCAGATGGCCAGGCCAGAACTGTGGGGCTGGATGTAGTGCTGTGGATACCTGTTACCACAGCAACATGGATCCCCCTGCTGAAGACCGATGTCGTAGATGGTGTGTAGTGTGTCCTTCCAGGGGCATTAGGGTTTGGATACCACAGGTGAGTATCCACAGAATGACACTGGACTGTTGAGCAACAGGCTTTCCCCATTTCAGGTGCCAAGGCTTTGCTAATAGTTCCTTGTTCAGAGGCTCACCTGAGGTGGTTTAGAAGCCTGACTGGGAGACGGGAGGCTATCATTTATCTCTAAGTTTGTCTCTGAGTGGCTAGGTGACTATGGCCAGGTCCTTTCTTTTTTGCCTTAGTTTTCCCTCTCAGAAAGAGTCATTCCTATTGGTTCTCAACTATACCACTGGCATCTTAGGTAGGTCATTTATCTACTAAGTGGACCTTTTCATTTTGCTACGTGCCAACTATGAAGCCATTCTGATAGTTTCTACTCCTAAATGCTCTCTGTATTACCATCTTTATGTCTCATATCCTCACTGCTAAGACAGGGACCATGTAATGCAGACTGTAGTGGACCATGTGGGGAAATAATTCAAGAAGCAGGCTGGGCAGAGAGAAAAATGGATGAGATGGTTTTGGGGAGGGGAAGATGTTGTCATTGGCTATTTGGAAAGAGTTATAAGGGCGGGTGATGTTTGAGAGATAGAAATGAAGTGACAAACACGGAAGCCAGTGTGTAGGCTTGGACCTTTCAGCACCACGGACAGCAAAACCAAAGCTCCAGGCTGATGGCCATATCTGTAGATGGGGTGATCTTGGAGAGCTCCTGATGAACTTGGAGAGCTCCTGACCTCATAGGTCCAGTGTCAATCCAGTTCCTCTAGCAGCCTCCACAGCTGCTGTCACTCCAAGGGTCCAGCTCTTCACATCTCTCTGGCACACTGGGCTAGGGTTGCTCTTTTGCCGATTCCTGTTAAAAGGACCCCTTGTTGCTTCCCCTGCCCCAGCCTACAGGCTGCCTGCAGTGAGAACCTTTATCTCCAGGCTGAGATCCCCTAACGAAAGGCCTGCCTTCTCCTCTAATCTGGCTTCTTCTTAAGTGATGAATAGAGATGAACACACAGGGATGGACCAAGGTTGATGTTGTTGCCTAGGTTACTGGGGAACTCAAAGAGTGAGAGACACTCGGGGCAAGTCAAGAGGAGGATTGACAACCTTGGATGCCTGAACCCCACCACACCGCACAGCAACACACACGTAGGAGGCCACTGAATCTCTCACACAGCCAAATGACAGGTCAATCCCACTGCCGGAACTTCAGTCACCAAAGTCCAAACCCTTGTCCTGCGGGTTGGGGGGAGGCATCAGTCTCAAATGGCAAGCCCTGTGGGCAGCATCCTTTACTTTCCAGACACAGGCTTGCTGCTCTGAGGGGAGTGCATTAGAACCAAATCAGTGGGCACTGAAGAATTTAAGAGGGAAAAATGCTTTATTCATTCATTCATTCATTCATCATTCATTCAATCACTTTACAACTTGATCCCAGCCCCCTCATCCAGCTCTCTTTGCTAGATCTATAAACAATCTGTTTCTCTCTGCTTCTACAATAGTCTGAATAAAATAGCCTTCCTCACCATTTAAACAAGGGTAGGATATTTTTTACCTTAGCAGCATTTATTAATTGAATAAAATCTCGAGGTATATAAAATACATCCTCCTGAGATTCCATATAGCCTGCTTTTCTGGAAGGAAGGGCTTTTCCCCCACTGCACCTAAGCTCCCTGTCACCAGCTGTGCCACCTCTGCAGGGTGTGGGACTCCTATGA